TTGTGTAATTTACTCGTCCTTCTGGACGTGATTGGCCTCGATCCTGAACGTTCTATCTTCATCGTCAGTAAACTACCCAACCTGAGGACTTGGCGCATGTGATAACACACGGCTCGTGATGGGCGGGTCTGGTCCCCCAGTGACTCAGTGTCCCATGCCAATTCCGGGTGGTGTCCAGAGCAAGAGCTCCCCGCCATGAGATTGATGGCCTTTCCCTGGAACCTTGAGGGTACATCCTGCAACTTTTCAGTGAGTGCTTGCCGCGCATTTCCGCAGCCTTGTCTGCTGTGGAGACATCTAGCAGAGGTCCTTCTAGGTCAGATGGGTCCAGCGGTGGGCGGTTCCAACCACAGCCTGGACACGCTCTAGAGCCCTGTCTCGATCTCAGAAAGCCAGCTTGCTTTAGTCATGTGCAACTTACAAGATCTAAGAGGGTAGTAGCTTTGATTTTTATTAATTTTTTAATTAATTGTTTGAATAAACAAGGCATTCAAATAGTTCCAAAATTAAAATGTAAAAAAGGCATGTAGTCAACAACCTCCCCCCTCCGCCTGATTTTCTTTCTAGCAGAGACCAACTGTGTTTACTTGCTTGTGAATTACTCTAGAGATAAATACGTGCGTGCGTGCGTGCGTGCGTGTGTGTGTGTGTGTGTATCTTCCAACCTCCCACCATTAGCTAAAACGATTGGTAGTTTATAGTTCTGTCCCTTACTGTAACTCAGCAGTGTAATCCCAGGGGCACCCGGGTGGCTCAGTCAGGTAAGCATCCGCCTCTTGGTTTCGGCTCAGATCATGATCTCACGGTTTGTGGGTTCGAGCCCCGCATCGGGCTCTGCGCTGCTGGTGCGGAGCCTGCTTGGGATTCTCTCTCTCTCCCTCTCTCCCTTCCCCACCTTCGCAAAATAAATAAATAAAAATTAAAAAAAAAAAAAACAACAGCATAATCCAGCCATTTTCAGACAGCAGCTTCCTCGTTATAGTTCACAACTTCCTGGGAGGTCATTTCATGGATGTGCCAAACCATGTAAGCATCGTCCTAGGGGTGGACGTTTCATTGTTTCCAATACTTTGTAATCACAGAGAGGATCGCAATGAATAACCCACTACACATGGAAGTACAGCTTCCCGGGAGGCGTGCCCTTGTCATTTTTAAGGATGCTTTCAGATGGCTCCCCTTGAAGTCTGTACCGATTCACATCCCCACTGATGATATAGAAGGGTGCCCATCTTTCCATACCGCCTCTCTGAGTGCGTTTTAATTTTTGCCGATCCGATCAGCAGAAAGTGTCATTTTCGTGCACTTTCATTTGCTTGTAGGTTATTTTACGAAACTTTGGTGGGTTTATGCCTCGTGTCACCGGCCAGATTTGAAGGGACTGGGGCTCTCGCAGACTCCATGTCGTAAGCCTTGATGTCTAATCACAGAAATGAAGGAGGGGAGCAAGCACCAGGCCTAGCCTGTTTCTGGCCCTCTCCCTAGTTCCAAGCGCTGTGTCTGGCGCCTAGTAAATGCTCAATAAACACTTCTTAAAGATGGGCTGGATCGATCAGGCCTGGGGCCTGGGACTCTGAATGCGGTAGACTTACTGCTGAAAGGTCAAGAGGCAGAATTTGAGTCATGGTGGCCTTTATGGGTCACGAAGAAGCCACAGGCTGTGAGGAAGGACTGAGGAAGCTCTGAACAAGCAGAGGGAGCCGGACAGCAGAGAGGGGAGCCAGAAGTGCCCAGAAGTGAATTTCTTCATGTGCTCCCAGGAAACAAAAAGTGAGAGCGGTTTCTGTTACCAACGGCTTCCCAGTTGAGTCTCGTGATTCCTGGAAATGAATTCAGATTTCGGTCCTTAGATGTCCACGTGACCCTTGCGTGACCTGACAACAAGCGTTTCTCTGCTGGAGGCTTCCTGGATTGAGGGTCTGCTCCTTGCCATCAAAACACGGATCCCATGTTGCAAATGTGGAATCTGAGACTCTGAGGGGTGGAGTCCAAGTTCTCTGGCCTGCCACGTCATCTGGCTCCGTGAAGTTGGAAGCTTGGACCAATGCACGTGGGAAATAGTCAGGACGTATTTGGCCATCGCTTGATCGGTTGATTGGTTTCTCAGTGGCTTGATTTGAAGCAACAATAGATTTTGGAGCAGAATGTATTTTTCAAAATGGCGGCAATAGTAACTCCTGTCCCCCGTGCTCTTTGGCGATGCAACTTTGACCTTGCCACTTTCCACTTCCTTATCAAGAAATGGACTCGAATTCATGTTTCTGGAAAGAACTGGGCTCTAATTCATGTTTCTGGAAAGAACTAGGCTCTAATTCATGTTTCTGGAGTCTGGGCTGGGCTTCATAACTCCCTTAGAACCAACACAATGCTTGAAGCTTTTGCTTTGTCTCTTGGAACACTTGATCTTAAGATGCTCTCCCTGGGGCGCCTGGGTGGCGCAGTCGGTTAAGCGTCCGACTTCAGCCAGGTCACGATCTCGCGGTCCGTGAGTTCGAGCCCCGCGTCAGGCTCTGGGCTGATGGCTCAGAGCCTGGAGCCTGTTTCTGATTCTGTGTCTCCCTCTCTCTCTGCCCCTCCCCCGTTCATGCTCTGTCTCTCTCTGTCCCAAAAATAAATAAACGTTGAAAAAAAAAATTAAAAAAAAAAAAAAAAAGATGCTCTCCCTCTCAGAACCCAGCATCCATGCTTCAAGAAGCCCTATCCACCTGGAGGGCCCACATGGGGGTGCTCTGCTGATCAGCAGGGCTGAGCCCAGACTTTAAGATATCCGGCCCAGGTACCAGACAGGTGAGTGAAGAATCCTCCGGAAGATTCCATTCCCCAGCAGTTCAGGCTACCCCCAATGCATTCAGACCTTCCCTGCTGAGGCCCCTGACATGTCAGAACAGACACAAGCCATCCCCACTGTGTCCTTTCCAAACTCCTGACGTCCAGAAGCTATGAGCTTAATAAATCAGGCTTTATTTTACCCCACTAAGTTTTGGGGTGATTTGTTACTCGATAGGTAACTGAAATTGCTCACGGGAACAAATTTTCTTTCCCCTAAAATTGTGACTTCACTTCTTATTCACGTCCAGCTGAGGGGTAACAGATAAGTTCTAAATCCAGTGAATATCACCCTGACTTGAGTCCATACACAAAGGCAGAGTTTTCCAAGACTGGGACTGGCTATAAAAAGAAGTTTCCTTGACTTTAAGCCCGAGAGAGCTTTGTCCTTCAAAGTTGGTGAAAAGAGGTCTTCCTGATACATGAAGGAATGACATCTGTTTCTTGGGTTAAACGCACACACACACACACACACACACACACTCTAGCCTGGCTTCCTGTGCAGACAATGTAGGCTCAGTTTCTCAGTTTTCCGGGAAATAGTTACCCAGTTAGGAAATTCTCCAGTCAAGAAAGCCCAATCTGGCCATTTTGCTCCGGGGAGGGCTCTCTGGCGCAGGAGTGGGCCAAAGAGTCATCTCTTCCGGCAAGCGTCCTCGGGAAAAGCTGGCACCCCCAAGGAGCCCCCCAGTACCCACGTTGCCGTCCCGCGTATACCGCAAGCTCCCACCCGGCGCGCTACTTTTGCAAACTGCGAAGAGCTCTCCAAATGCACAGCTGTTAGCCTGGACGCTGGCCCTCGAGTGAGCAGGCTTGGGAAGGGAGGCGACTGCGACATCCCAGGGAACGCGGATTTCCCCGGCGTCTTGGCGTGGCTGAGGGGAGCGTCCCACATGGGGCTCCCTAGCTGTGCTCGGGACCGTGCGGTTGGCACAGAGGTCTGTCTTACCGCCTTCGCTGGCGCCTTCATCCACCAGCAAAGTCCTCACTATTTCCATCTCGCTAGCTCCAACCTGAAGCTCAGAGGGGCTGAAGACTGTACGAAAGGACACACAGCTGTTGGGGGAGGGGGGTGGTAGGAGCAGGGGCTGAGACCCGGGTCCCTCTACGCCTCGTCCTCGGGTGGCCCTTGCACGGCGCCTGGGGTCACTGCTCCTTCCGTCTGCGGAGCACTTGACTGCCGGCAGGTGCTTTCATAGGCAACATGTCACCGGAGCGGCAGGACCCGTTCCCTATCTGCACGTTATAGACGAAGAATCGGCGGTTCAAGTGAATTGCCCTCGGTCCTGTGATGGAGCAAGTGGCAAAGCCAGGCTCTGAGCAGGGTCTCGCCCTCAACACAGGGCAGCATCACTGAAACGCGTTCATGTGCCTCTCTTCTTTCTCGGCCTGCCTCCTGGAACACTCAGAAAGCCGGGCGGGGAGGCCAGCGGCCTTTGCGCAGCGACGTCCCTGCAATTATTCAACCTTTATTAAGTAGCCACAGCATGTAAGACACTGTCTAGCCCATCGTGGCGGCGGCTGACGTGATATTAAAGGGCAGCCGTGACCTGGGCACCGAAGGGCTTGGCACGCTGACGTCAGGTCTCCCGCTGGGCCCCTCTGGCTCTTCCCAGGCCCCGGGACACCCCACCTGCACCCCCACATTGGAGGGCTGATGTCCCAGGTGCGGCCACAGGAGAGCAGGAACCCCAGAGGCTGCCGTGTGATTAAACTCTCTGTTGTGAGAAAGTGACACTGTGGTCTGATTCATACCAGTAAATATGTGATTTACATTTAATTCTGAGTAACCTTTCTGGGCTCGGCGAGGTGTGAAGGAATCTGATGGCTCCGTGGAAGAGGAGACGATTCATATTCATTAAGACCTCTGCATCAGCCAGCTGAAGGGTGACAGGCCCCAGCCCGCCCTCCTCCCTCTCGCCCTGCAGGGTCAGGGCTCCCGGGAGGCCAACAGCCAGGCAGGCTGCCACTTGGGGTGGGGAGGTGGGGGGTAGGGGGGAGTAGTGGAGAGGGCCAGAGGCGCCGAGGGAAATCGGAAGGAAAATACACAGCAGGTCCACAAGTGATACTGCACAGGCCGACATTGCTGCATTAGCTGTATTGATCTCTCGAGGGCAGGGGGAGGGGTATCGATTGAGGAGGGTGGCAGGTCTCCGAGCCCTCCCGCACCTCCCGCCCCGGCCCATCTCCTTTGTACATATTTGCAGGGGACTGTTCAGTCATCTCTGGTTCATACGGGCCTGGGACGGAGAGGGAGAAATGCCAAAGAAGGAAGGTCCCCTGGCCCCTCGGGGCGTTTGTTTGGGTCTCGACTACCTGAGCTGGGATCACGGCGGGTGCCTGTGGTCTGCTTCGCTTGAGAAGGCCCAAGGAGTGCTCTGAGGGGAAGAACTATACCTTCTCCCATGGACAGGCTGTCCGGACGCTCTCAGACCCTCAGTTTGTCTGTCCTCTTAGTGGGAATATCTGCCATGACGAACAGCAATTCTGATGTCTGCTGACGGGGCGGGGGGGGCGGGGGGGCGGCGAGGAGCTCTCACTGAATCCTTCTGACAGCTTTCTGAAGAAGCCTTCGCGTCCGCGACCAGTCTGTAGATGAGAACACCCATCATGATTATGATTCCAGACGACGGGCCCCACTGGATAACACGCAGACAGGAGTGAAGTGACTGGGGGCCGCGGCCTGTTCGAGGGGGGATGCTTACTCCCCGAGGGGCAGAGTGAGGCAGGGAGGGTGCTCCGGGAGGACTCCCCGGGGCAGTGGCCACTGAGCTGGGAGCTGAAGGTGGATGGAGCACCCAGCAGCTGAGAGACGGGGAGAGTGTCCCGGCTGCCCCGGGAGAAAGGATAGGTAGGATGTCATGGGGAGCGAGTGGCCCCCAAGGGCGGGCAGTGTCTCTGTGCTTCAGGACGGCGGACAGGCACTCCTGTTAGTGACTCTGAACTTACTCCTGAGGATGACAGGGGCCTATTGAAAGCTTTCGAGCAGGAGAGTGTTAGAATCAAGTAGGCTTTTTAAAAGCTGGCTCCAGCTATGGGGAGCGAACGTGGAGGGCGAGAGACCCCCGTGAGGCGGCCGGGCCATCACCAAAGGAGGGCAGGGGTGGGAGAGCCGACTGGGCCAGGAAAGGGTCCGAGGTGACTGGCTGCTCAGGGCGTAAAGTTGGGGGGTGGGGGCAGCCTCCAGGACGATGCTCTGATTTCTGGTGTTTGTGACTGGCCCAGCCTGGTTTGGACAGAAGGATGACGGGCTCCACTTTGGACCCGCTGGGTTTCGAGGTGCCTGCTGACTGCTGCGGGGTGGGGGGCAGTGCAATGCCGACCTGAGGGGCAGGAGGGAGGTCTGGGCTGGCGATCACGACGTGGGGAAGCCGTCAGCTCAGGGAAGGCACGGGAAGACGCCGGTGTAGGCGAGGGGGGCCGCCAGGGAGAGTGGACGTCTGAGCAACAGGCCGAGGGGGAGGGTGTGTGTGTGATCACAAGGGGGCTGCCAGTGGCCGGGGGAGGCCGGGAGAGGCCGGGAGACTGCGTTATCTAGCAGCCAAGGCCAGAAAGTGTGTCAGGAAGAGGAAGTGGTCGGCGATGCCGGGCCCCCTCCACAGACCACGTGGGATGTGGAGTTAAAAGTGTCCATTAGATTTAGCAACCAGGAGGTCAGAGGTGGCCGAGCGGGGCCAGCCTCGGGGGCCTGGGGGCCCAGGGCCAGACTGAGGGAGGTGGGTGGGGAGGAAGTGGGAAGTACTTAAGACAGACACCCCAGTTAAGAGGTTTGGCTGCGGAGGAGAGGCCAGCGATGGGGCAATAGCTGGACGGGGCCAGCAGGTCAAGAAAGGGATGTTTTCAAGGCAGAAAAGGCATAGCTCATTGAAATGCTGGTGGCCAGGAGCCAGGAGGGAGGGAGAGAGGTGGGGAGCACAGCAGATAAGGGGCTCGGGGGTTGAGCGGGTGTCTGAGGGGGTGGAGGTCTGGAAGGGGCAGGGGAACCAAGGTGGTGGGGACAGGGAGGAGGCAGGGAGGGCAGAAGGGAAGGAGGAAGGGGTGTGGACGCCAGCCGTCTGCAGGGTGGTGCACATGCTGTGGTGCAGGGGTGGGGGGAGGAATGGAGGGGGCTGGGGGAGCAGTGGAGCCGTTGTGCTCCCAGGGAGACAAACAGGGTTTTAATCTGTGCTTGGCATCCGCCATGCAAAATGTCACAAGGTGACGGTGTAGGGCACCGGGCTCCCACACGAGGGTCGTCCCCGGGTGGCTGTCATCACCCCGGCAGGCAGGCAGGCAGAGCACGCCTCCTGCAGCCTCCCTGCCTCTCCTGTCGTCCAGAACCAGGACCCTCTCCTCCCACAGAAGAGACGAGACGCCTGCCCGGTGGGACCAAGCCCACTGCTGTGCGCTATGCCTTCTGGCTGTAGCCACTTCTGTTCTTACCTCCAGAGGCAGTTTCTCCACCACGCAGGCCCCAGGTCCCCACGTCCCACTGCTCCCTCAGGAAAGAGTTGCCACGATCCACAGAGAGCACTCCAGTTAATTTTGGCCTTTTTCAGTCCACAACATATGCTGGGGAGGAGAGGGGGAAACTCACATAGTTCTCATGAAAACTCTACCCTTTTGGAAAGCTTCTGGGGGGTCGGTTGGCCTCCAGAAAGACAAAAGGCAGGCAGGGCCATCGGAGAAGGTTGTGCAGGGCGTGCCCTGCTCAAAGACACCCTGACAGGACAAGGGGTGGAGCCAGTGGAACCTGAAACCAGCCCTGGGTCCGCTGGCCAAGCCCAATGCCCTGCGTGTGCAGAGGCACCTCTCTCCGGTTCCCACAAAGGCGTCGTAGAGGCTAGCCGAGTTCCCCAGAGAAGCTTCCTGCACCTGTCTCCAGCGAGGTGACTCCCTCGCTGGGCCACGAGGACTCCCACAGACAAATGATTGTGACGAGAAGCTTCTGGCAACCTGGATATGCTGCTCTGGTGGCCAGGAAGAGAGCTGGGAATCAGGGGATTTTCATTTCACCGGTCCCATGGAAGGGCAGGGGCGGACTCAGGGTGAGGCAGGAATGGGTGCACGGAGGGTCCAGGAGGGCAGGTTCATGGCCAGGAAGGGGAAAGGTGAGCAGAAGATGGCACTGGCCAAGGGCATTGAGGGACCGGCCACCGCTCTCCTGGAAGGCTCTTGGCACATCACGTTCCCTCCCTATGCCTCAGTTTCCTCGTCTGACAAATCCAGAAAAAAGGAGGGGGGGCGGTTGGGGGGAGACCAGAGCAACGGCTTGAAGCTTAAGTCACAAGAGACAGAGTCAAAGCGACTGTGGCCGGGTCATTTGACACATCAGAACTTCACGCCTTCCTCTGGTCCCCAGACGATCATTTTTGCCTCCTCTTTTTAGCTGGCCGCCCGGGTGCCCTCCCGCTCCCCGCCCGCCCGCCTCTCCTTCCTGAAGGGAACAAACCAGAATAGGACTGGTCTCTCCTTTGGGGGGAGAGGGTTCCGTTTCCCTCAGCCCCAGGGAGAGCAAGAGGAACAAGAAAATTACAGTATCAGCATGGAAATTACAATTGGAGGCGTCTGATTCACCAGGGAGAATGACTCCTTCCTCTTTTTTTTATTTTTAGTCGCTATTATGTTGGTAAGGAGGCCTGTGCTCATTAACCTGTATGGCCAGAGCAGAGACTCTGTGAAACTGGCGGGTGAATAAACCTGTCCCCTCCCGCCCCCTCCCCTCTCATCAGTTATTTATAGGCTTCCTTCCCTCTGGTGAATTAATTAACTTGTACTAATGGCCTCAGACGCTGGCTCTTGTGTTTACTTGGGCGTCCCTTTGAGGCCAGGAAGAGAAGCAAGCGGAGGGCCCGGGGCCGGGGAGGTCCAACCTCCCCCACGCCAGCCCTGAGCCCTCCCCCGGACCCTCCCCATCCCCCCGCAGAGTAGGATCGAGGGGTCCTCGTGGACCCCCAGCTTCCCTCCCTAGAGGCTTCAGAGGTTTGGGACTGTAAAAGCCGGCCAATCTGTCCCCATTTGCAGAGGTTCACAGCGTACCAGGAAAACGAAATCCAAAATACATCCGTTTCCTTCAGCGGGGGAGCAAGGCACCAAAACATAAGGGCTTCAGAATTCTCTGGGCCCGGAGCGGTAGGCCACTGAGTGCCGAAGTGCAAGGGAGGGGGGGGGGGGCCCCTGGAGGTCTGGGGGATCCTGGGGCACGATGCGGAGCGGGGAGGGCGCCCCCGTAGGGACCCGGTGAGCAAGGATGGGGAGAAGGGCTGGGACACAGGAGAGGGAGCCCCTTCAGGAGGGGCTCCTCAGGCCCAGGCTTCTACTTCACAGATGGAGAGACTGAGGCCCAGAGAGGCAGTGTCCTGTCCATTCATCCAGCCACCCCTTCCTTCATTCGACACACACTTTTCAACTTCCCGGGCGGTGGGTGAACTAGGAACCTGTTCTAGGGGAACTGGTCTGTCCCCGCGGGGGTCCTGTCCAACGGGGAGCCAGTGTGCCGCAGGGAGGACGTGTCAGCCAGGTGACATCTGGCCCGTTCCTGACAGGTTGCAGGGCTCCGGTATCACTCAGGGACTTCTTCCACCAAAGTTACTCCCGGAGGCGAGCCCACAGCCAGCACTTCAACCGTCACCCCCATCCCCCCACTGGCACTCCCAGGGCCCCCAGACTCACACGAATCGGGTCTAAAGAGCACCCTGGCCTTGCCAACGCAACCTCCAGGCCCGTGCCCCAGGTGCTCCCACCCCTGGTTCCCCCGGAAGGATGCTCCCGCATCCTGTATCCCAGAGCCCCTCCCCCATCCCAGCCACACCCAAGGTTCGGACCCCAGCGCGGGCTTCTGGACAAGGACACACGCAAGGACGAGCCCTTGTCACCTCCCGCAAGCCCAAGGTCCCAGACACCCGCCATCCAGATTTACTACCCCCTGACCCCAAAGCGTGTGGCTGACCTGGCTTTTGGTCACACGGGAGGCGCACGTCTCCCGCGGGAAATGGACTTCTTGCTTCTTTTTCCGCCCTCGCCATGCTGACTCCTGGAGGAAGGAGGTGGGACTGGGACTGGGCTGGGGCCCCACCCATGACATTGAGGAGCACTTATTCCTCGGGCCACACTGCATCGCTGCTCCGAAAGCGCTTCTGGCCAGTGAGTGCCAGGGTCCCCTGCTCCAGCGCCGGGTCCTGTGCCCCAGAAGTGGCCTCCCAGGGTGGGTTCCTGGTCCAGCCCCCTCCGCCAGCCTATAAAGGGTGTCAGGCGACTGCCCTCTCCCGACACCTTGAACAACCTTGCTGAGTATTATGATTAATCCTCATCAGCACTAGTGACAATATGAAAATTATTACAGTGAAAGCTGCCAGGCTGGCCTTGCTCTGTGCTGCCGGTTACGTGAATTGCTTAGAGGGATGGTTCCCACCTCCTGGCCCCACGCCCACCCCCCCAGTCCACCGCCTTGGGACCTTCCCAAGGTCTACACTGCAGACCTTGCTTTCTCCAGCAGTCCTGTCTCCCCTCGGCCCCCGGGGGCTCAGGCCAAGTCCTCTGGGCAGTTTTGTGCCTAAAATTACCTCCTTACGCCTACAGTTTGCCATTTGCACCTTCAAAAGCCCCGGCAACTGGCTAATTGCCATGGCAATTAGGTAATCGCAGGTGCAATTAGCAACTCTAGGAAAGCAGAGGGAGAGGGAGAGGAGACGGAGGGGAAGAGGGAAATCAGAGAGAGGAAATGCAAGCTGACAGAGGTTGTGAGGGAGAAACCGATGGGTGGAGCAGAGGGAGAACGGGATGGGTGGACCCGGAGGGAGACTGGGGTGGCTAGAAACAAGAAAGAGGTGTGCACCATGCAAAATAAGTCCACAAGACAAGCCCCCCAAGCCGAAGGCCTACAGTGAGCCCAGCAGGGCAGAAAGCCGGATGCAGGAGCAGGGTAGGCTGGGGGCTGGGCTTCGTGGGGAAGGTGAGCTTGGACCACAGAGTGGGCTTTCCGCGAGCAGACAAAGGGAGATGGGCACCCTGTTAGCCATCAGCACAAGCAAAGGTCCTGAGGCGCGAGAGCCCAATCTGGGGGTTGAGAGAGGCTACATCCAGCACCGTCCAACAGAACCTTCTGCCACGATGGAAACGCTTTACATCTGCACCATCCAATGTGATAGCTACCAGCCACCTGTGACTACTGAGGAATTGAAATGTGGCCGGTGCAACTGAGGAACCGGGTTTTTTATTTAATTTAACTTTAAGTTAAAATACAAATAGCCACATGGTTGGCACAGACGGCTGGAGGAGGGGCAGTGAGGTTCGAGTGTCAGCACGAGGCCTTCCAGAAGACACCCATAGAAGGAGGGGAAGGTGGGTCTGGGATGGGGAGGACTGGAGGAATTGAAAAGAATGGGCGGGTCCCCATGTGCGCATGCGGACTCTTTCGGTTTGGGCACAGGCAGATCACCAGGAAGAGGCACATCTCACAGGTGTCTCGGCCCCTCACAGGTGTCTCCTGGTGTCCCATTTCATGAACGGTCCATGGTCCGGGAGGAAGAGGGGGCCCCGCATCTCCCCGGCCCTCCAGCCCCACGTTCCCAGGCCCTCCCCCAACCCAGGCCCCCCGCTTACCTTGACAGTGAAACAGGAAGTAACGTGGGCTAACAGGACTGCCGCCCCCACACTCACGTGCACACACACCCAAACACACATGTACACCCATGGCCACACAAGCACACTTGGACCTGCTCACGTGTGCACCCCCCCCCCCACCTCCGGAGTGCTTTGGATGGCTGTTCCTGCTGGTGGAAAGCCACAGAAGGGCTTGGCGGGCGGGGGCGGGGGGGGTCTGCCTTGTGCAGGTTGTCGGGGTGAGGATCGCTGTCAGCACCAGTGCGAGTAAGATGCAGGGCCCCAAGACTCACTACAGGGGTGCATTCTGTGCCCCACGATCTCTGGGTCCCCTTCCCTTTGGTACCTCGGGGTGGGCAGGGTGGTGGCCCGGCTGGGGCCAGGGATGCCAGGCTGAATGTGGGGAGGGGTGGGATCCCTGCCCTGCTCCGTGGGGTGTCCTGCCTTGCCCCAGCCACCTCCTCACTCCCTCCCCTGCCTTCCCCCCCCACCTCCCACAACCCCACACTGCCCCCCTGCTCTCCTCCCCATCTCCTCTCTGTCCCCTTGTTCCACCTCTGCGCCCCCTCCCTTGGGTCCTTCCCGGTTTCCTTCCCTCACCATCTCTGGCCCCCTCTCCTCTCGCGCTACACCCCGACGTGCTAACCAACGTGAAACTCCCATCCAGAGACTGCCATTTGAGACTTCCAGAACATTCTTTTCTTTGCCCATACGGGGGTCTGCCTGTGAAAGTTCTCGAGACCCAGGACTGGAGGTCCTCAGACTGCAGCAGCAGGATGAGTAGGACGGGCCCCCAGGCTGGCCGAGGCGATGGTGGGCTTCGTAGGTGGCCGAGGGGCTGGGCCTTTCACATACACGTCCGTGTGTGTGTGTGTGTGTGTGCACGCGCACACGCGTGAGGGCTGCAGTTTCCTGTCGCGTGTCTGTCCCCAATGTGCGGCGCCCTGGAGAGGACCGAGGAGGCAGCCTAGAGCAGCCCGGCCTTGGCTGGGCCTGTATTAGATTTTACTAGAAAGCAGAGCACTGTGGCCAAGATAGTATGTGACGACAGAGGTGCCCTCCAGCCCCGGGACCCTGCATTAGGAGCAGGGCTGGTGGCCTCTATCCTTGTTCCCCCCACAGGGCTCGATACAGGCTTGGGAACAAAGCGGTAGGCCAGCCAGAGGAGGCCTGGAGGAGATGGCCAGAAGCCTGAGCCTCTGAGCTCCAGCTCTGTCTGTCTGTCTGTCTGTCCCCTCGTGGTTGGTGCTACTCAAGTCCAGATGGACAGTGAGGATGTACGAGGCAGGAGGTGGGGAGACCCCACCCTGGGACTCAGCGCAGTGCAGGTGGAGGCCAGGCCGTGGGACGGTCCCCACCTCTTCCATACCCCTGTATGCACCCCTGTACATCCTCATTTTGAGGCCCCATACACACAGATGAGAGCAAGGCAGCCCTGTGCGTGGAGTTCCCCTGCATAACGTTCCAGCACAGCCTCGACCTGTCCTTCAGAGCCCTGGTGGGATTCCCCTGGGTGGGGGTGGGGGCACAGAGGGCCGAGGAAGCAAAGGAAATCCAGTGTGTTTAAGGAGAAAAAGAATTTATTGAAGGACTCCAGGCGGATGCCAAAGTCAGTCTCTGGGGGAACCAGAGGCACAAATACCCCGCCCGCAGCCGCACCACTGCCAGACGGGGCCTCCCCACACCTGCATCTACACACGCCTTACTTGGGATCCACGTCCCTGTCAGGCTGAGCCAGGTCCGTGGCCGCACCCAGGCTGCAGAGGTGTGGAAGCTAGTGCGTTGCCCCCAAGAGGGCCGGGACTCCCAGGCGGAGGGAAAGTGCCAGTAACCAGAAGGCCTGATGAGTGTCCCTGATCCCCCAGCAACTACCAACAACCTGCTCCACCGGCCCGCCTCCCCAGCCCCTCACTGAGGACCCGGTCCTGTTGCTGTCCTCACCCCTTCCCCCTGGTTTTCAGAGGCCCCGGTGCCAAGCAATCTGCCCCAGGAGGCCCTCCGCCTTGGGGACCCTGTGTGCACAGCAGGTTTCTAGGGCTCAAGGGGAGGGGGGAGTGTCAACACAACCACAGGCTGTGCCTTTCCGGTGACATTTGTCTCAGGCTGAGGCTGAGGTTGCCCCCCCCCCGACACCCCCGGGGTCGAGAGAGGAACCCACCCCCCCCCGAGCGCGGCGGCCAGAGGGGCAGAGCACGGAGGCGCCCAGAGCAAGGGGACCCCTGGTGTCCGCGGGGCATGGCCATGGCTGCAGCCACCACTTAGCGGGCGCTGGCTACATGCCAGGGGCCACGCCAAGCTCTCGGCTCTTAGAGTCCCTGCGGCAACTTCGTGAATGGGGAACTGCTCCCACCCCCCGACAGGTGAGGCCACCAGGACGGGGCAAAGAGACGCTAAAGAATGCACCCGGGCCACCCAGCTGCTATGTGGCCCCTTACACTGCGTATCTCCCCTGAGCCTCTACTCTCCCTCTGCAAGACGGGGCCCCAGGAGGTCAAGGGACAGCTTGCGTTGGTGATGTTAGGGCTCTGCCTGCTGCTGGTTGTGTGATTTGGGGGAGTTTTTTTTAACTGCTGTGGGACTTAGTTTCCTCCCTGGAAGCCCAGGGCAATGGAGTCCCCCAACGGGGAGTCTGTGGGAGTAGTGAGGGGTGGGTGCTTGGTACCCGGTGCATGGCAGAGGTCCAGGAAATGTGCGACCAAGGGCACGGGAGCCTGAGCCCCTCAGATGGCCCCCTAGGATAAGCAGGCTCTGCGGCCCCCTCTCCCACCAATATGTCAGAGCATCTTAGATGCCCAGAGCAAGTGGGATCATGCCCCCCTCCCCTCCCTAGGCCCCTCTGAAAAGCCTTATGCCTCTGTCTCCACATGTCCTGTGTCCCCTCATCACGCGGGTCCCTCCTGTCCTGAGGAAGCAGCCACATGCCCTCCCCACTGTGGGCCCTGTGGTCCTCAGGACCCACGCTTCCTTTGACCAGAAGAATGCGGAAGAAGGCAGCACTCGGCCCCATCAGGAAAATGCCTCTTCTCCATCGAAGGGGAGGGAGCATCTTGAATAGGGAAGTCCCTCCAAGTCAGAGAAGAGAATCTTCTCAGAGAAGAATCTTCCTCTGGGAGGGCAACAGATTCTGTGTTGGGTTACCGTCTCACAAAACAGTACGTGCTAGCTGCCTGGAACCCTGTGTGGAAGATTCTGGAAGCGTAGCCTGACTTAGTGGGAAAGAACACTGTGACTGATTACTGATGTCTGCCTTGGGCATGCTAGCTACTTGTCATTCTGGATCTGAATGTCTGCCCACGGGGCCCCGAACCTGTTCTCTCTCCCCACCGCCCCTGTCCCTTCTCCCCACAGGTGCCCTAGAGCAAGGGATCTGTCATCCAAGTGACTTTCCAACAAAACCCTCCCATAGACTTCAACCATGGCATGGTTGTTTCATTTC